TGCCACTCTCACCCAGTCCAAGCAGGTTTCTGCACCCATTTTACCCCAGGGTTCCCTCAGCAGACTCACAGATGTCTTGTTCCGTAATGAGACGCTGGCTCCTGCTTTGGCTCTCCATGTTGTCCTTGTTTAAAGGACAGGTATCTGCCAAGGAAGGCGGGAAYCTCCCTTGGAATGGAAAAGGTGATCCCCTTTCCTCTAAATTATTTAAACTGTAAAATTACAGGGCTTTCAGGCAAAGATATGGGAAAAAGGTATTACAGTTATTTACTAATGTATATATTTATAACACTGGAAACAAATTACAACAACGGCAGCAACAACACCCAAAACCAGAAACCCCGAGACAGCCTCCTCCGGGCTGCCAAAGGACCCTCCCATTTGGTGCAGTTATGGTCACAGCCGGSAGGGGCGCTGGTGGGCGCCGGGCATGGCAGGTGCGATGAGTCCTCCGCGGCTGCAGGGGGCGCTGTGGCGTGAGCTGAGCCACCTCTCCATACAGATAACAGCGGGCGAGCTGGTGGGAGAGGGAGGGAAAAGGGATTCCTTTGCAAACTCATGGAAGCGGCCGGTCTCAGCGCCACTTGGGAAGCTGAATGGGTTGTGGCAGGACACCTTGGAACCCGCAAGCTRGAAACAGCAGAGGCAGGCACACCCAAGGTGGCAAACAAAGTGTAGCAGCTGTGCCAGAATCTGGGGGGTATCCCGGCAGGCACATGGTGTTGAAGTGTAGCAAAAAAGCTCTACGCAGCGGAGGAAAACATTGGGGCTGGGCAGCGGCAGGTGGGAATTCTGCAAGCGCCAGCTGCAGGCAGCCAGAAGATGTGCCCTGCGGGCAGGGGGACATGGTTGGGTTCCCTTACCAATGAGGCCACGTGTTGGAAAGGAAAGGAATGAGAAGGGAGTGTCTTTACGAACAAACTTTGACTCTGAGGATAAAGCTGATACTGGGAGATAGAAGGAAACAATAGGAAGCACTTCCATAGTAATTCCACTGACTGACTTACCCCAGACTATGTTAATAGACTACAAGAGCAGAGACACAGAGATGTATATTGATAGGGGGCAATGTATGATAGAAGGGAGGTTTCATCAGGCATTTCAGGGAGCCTGTACCTCTCAAGTACCTCAGCCAATGGGAGAAGAGAGAGGGAACTGCGGCCGGGAAATTGGGATAAAAGAGGCTGCATCCTCTTGCAATTTAAGAGACCCCATGGGAAATGCCCATGACCTCTCCCTTTATTCATGAATAAAGTTGCGGGACTCCTCTGTCTCCTTTTTGGATATAAACCTCTTGTGCTTGTGGATTAATTTTCCTGACAGAAAGTCCCAGTTCAACAGCTGCTCTTCTGAGCAGAAGCTCACCCACAGTAAGGAGAAAAGTGGTGCAGGATAGAACTCCATGGTGGCAGCAAATGCATCCTGCAGCAGCAGCAAAGCCAACCGTTCTCCTCCAGCCCCGAGAGCGAGAGAGAGCAAGGAGCTAAGTCCAACCCCGCACCCCCCAGCCAAAATCTTACCGTATCTCTGCACTTCACAAGAGAAAGCCCCCCATGTCAGAGACACTAGACAACTGCACACTTCCCCCTCCTCCTCTGCTACAGCTTTTGTGTCTCTTAAGACTATCACTCCCATGTCTTAGGCAACGAATGGGAGAAAATTCCCTCAGACAAATTAGAAAAAAAAATCTTAATCTTCAACAACTGTTCCCTTCCCCTGGCCAGTGCCACAGCTCCCTGTGCCCTCCCTTATGCAAAGGGTGGGCAGTTCTTGSCCTCTGGTCCAGGGCTCCCTCCAGCCAGAGCTCAATCTGCAGCTGGCACTGCAGCTGCACACCCAGATCCCTGCCCTGAATGGATTCCTCAGCAGCTGCCTGCACCAGGGCCTCATCCTGCAGCAAGAGGGGCCTCAAGAAAGCTGCAGAGAGCCTTCTAACAAGGGCAGGCAGTGATGGAAAAAAGGGCAGTGGCTTTCCAGTGACACAGGGTAGGTTTAGATGAGAAACTCAGAAGGAATTCTTGACTGTGAGGGTGCTGAGACAATGGCATGGGTTGCCCCAAGCAGCTGTGGATGCCTGTTTTTCATGTAGGCAGGGTCAGCCCAAAAGACACAAATACCAACATCAGGAATAAATTATTTTATAATTTTATAGTCATTTACTGTAATTCAAAGCTGTAAAGAATTGCAAAACAATAAGTAAGCAGTACATCAAATAATTACAAAAGAATTGCAAAAGGATTAATTAAGCAATGCATATAATCATTACAACAAAAGATTGCCTACAGTGATGAAGAAAGAGACATCACTGGTTACCCTAATACTTGAGCATCCTCCAGGTCTGCCCATCACCTGGGGAAGCCACTGTCACAGTGAGGGACTGGAGAATCACTCCCAGCAACTGGGAAATCCTGCAGTGTCCTACAGGCAACCAGGCTTCTGACTGCGCTCTGAGAGGGTCCTGTTTTTATACAGCTGAGTAAAAAAGATACCAAAACTTCTAGTGCAGGAACATCAGGTTTTGTTCACCTATAGGGATGCTCCCAAGGCCTGGGAGGGCTCCAGGAGCAACCAAGGGAGTTGTCTTTCATTCTACACCGAAAACAAGGCCAGGTGTGGCCTTGTCCACTTTCTAAACATGGAAACATAAATCCATGTTGTGCCAGTGAGGGGACATAGATAACATTTGGTTGGAAGGCCCATCCACAG